CTCTTGAAGGAAAAAAATGTGCAAGTTCCACCGGTCCCTGCTGGAGACTAAAGAGAATGCACTGCAAAGAAAGGGTAGAAGTCTGTGTATGTTAAGGTTACATTCATATTGGCAGTAATGGGAAAGCACACCAGCAATGGACGACAATTCTTACTTAGTTGCGGAGGCATGTAGATTTTAACATCACCAAAGGTCACCAAAGGTCACCCAAGGTCACAGAACTCAGTGGCAAGGGCAAGAATCCTCTCCTCAACAGGGGTAAGATGATGAACATCGGATGCAGTACCACCCCTTTTGGATTTTTCTGCCCTATTCTAGGCTGTTTTCTGTAGAATCAGACAAACAAAGTGAGATACAAGTAACTGGTGCAGGTATGGGAAAGGTGCTGAGATGTGTCAAGTGAGTGAGTAGGCAGCTCAGAGGTCTTGCACAGTTATTAGTGTAAGCGTTTGGAGGAGTTGGGACGGTGAAGAAGATGCTACATGCAATAGTGCCCATGAGCCTTGGTGGGAAGTTGGTGCAGTAACAGAGACAGAGCGAGTGTGAGGTAGCACTTACCCTCAAGACAGCAGGTGGTCATTGATGTCCTTGTGACATTGCTGGGTATTCCTGCGGACTACTGAAACAGCACAGACCTTTGTGACAACCTTGGGCCAAGCTAACAGTGTCTGGTGATGTGGCCTCCTCTGCTGGTCCCGACAGAAGAGGACAGACTTCCTCTGCACTACCTCATCCACCAGGACTTCCAGGTCCCTATGGGCAAAACCAGGGTGCCAACATGCCTCTGTCCACCATCTTCAGGACAATTCTTTAGAAGGAGGAAACGTGCTGGGCAGTTCCAGACTGTCAGCTCTTGACCAGGTTCACGACTGCATTTTAAATGTGGTGCCACTGATGACAATCGCAGAACAACTCAGCAGTGGTGAGTATTTTCGCCTCTGCCAAGAGGAAAGATGAGACAAGCAGCGTGCCATCAAGGCTTGATGTGTAGCTAATGAGGTAAGTTTCAGAGATAGTGTGAGAAATCTTGCTAGGATTTATGGAGAGAAACCCTCCAACAAACTCACCAAAATTGCCGTTTTGCCGATTTCTGTTAAAATTCAGCCTATAGTTTCCAACAATGCGATACTTTGTAATGGAGTGTTTAGATGCAAAGTAATTGCACTGTACTTTAAAGTAAAATGGTGTATAATTTTTGATGATATGAATATTTTCAGGTATGCATATTCTTCAATATTTTGAAATGTTTTAATTTGGTCAGTTGTAGGATTTGGAGGGAAATTAACATTGATTTAGTTTAGTCATAATCAGTACATTAATTGGTTCATCTAATACATTATTCTGCTTAACTGTAATCAATGTTCATTTCAGTATCTTAATATCATGCAAATTTGCTTAGCTTCACTTTACAAAGAAATGCACCATGCGTTCACAGACAGAATAAAGACATTACTTTAACTTTTAAGAGTTATAACTACAAGGCCGAGGGCCTCTGTTTAGCTTATTTTTACTTAAAATCCAGACTTCCAAAGTTGAATAATGCTTGTGGATTATTCATCCCAGCTTGTTAGCCCTTAAAAAAATCATAACCACTGCAGTACCGTTCTAGCGGTGCTATTTTAATTTGTTTTAGAAGTGAAGCAATTGACGAAATGTAACCTCTGTATTAGAGTTAATTTTGTAAGGTTTGTCATTGTATAGCATCTTAGTCTTTCATTACTCGAAACTATGTATTGAAGAATGTTTCACTACTTGACATTTTATATACTTTGTATAGCAATTTGTTCAGATTCATACCTTGTGATCTTCTGTATTTATTTTGCATTATTTTGAGATTATGAGCAACTTTTCACACTTTTTTTTAAAAAGACAAAAGATAAGGTTTTAAAACTCTTTCCAGGTATTCAAAAACCACACAGGAAAAAGACAAACAAACAATCTAACAAATGGCTTGAAGAGGAGGAAATAGTCAATGATAATGAAGTTACTGAATTAATGGGGACTTCGCCAAATAAGCAAGAATTGAGATGGGAGTTCGAAAGTATCAAGCACTGGGTCCTGACTGCACTATTAATATAAGCCATAGGGAGATATAGTGAAGAGTATGGTACCGTGGATAATAGACAAATTAAGGAACCAGTCAGGAAATAGTGGGAGGTGGCATTAGTCAATGTCCATCACCCTTACGAGCCAATTAGAGATTGCTAATGCATCCCATAAATCTCACCTCCTCCTGACCAATTAGAATGTAATGATGTAATTGATCATTCCGCGGATTGTGGCTTGGAAGGAGTTAATAAGCAGTAGGTTCAAGTGATCAAAGTGCACATCAAGTTTGAAAGTGTCCATGTGGAAGCAGCAGATCTTCAAAACATGGAGAGACCAGAGGCCGAGTGTCAACTTTCACCCTAAATTGAATGAGAAAGGCAAGAAGTGTGTAAAGTTGCTGCCCTGCTTTAAAAGGTATTATCTGTAACTGAAGTGAAGTTTCCTGAGTTTCCGTGCCAGACTGTCTCGTTAGTTAAAGTTTTAAATGAATAAAATAATATTAGTATTTGGATTTAAATTGTACTCTTAATTGTAAATTTAATTAAACTCTCAGTAAAATAGGTCATCACTGTTTACTGTTGTGTAGTGATATATACACCCAAGGCTAGTTATTTAAATTAACATTGATGTTGGGTGATAAATAAGTGTTTTAAAAAAAGTCTGAGCTTTATAACAGGGCATTTTCCAAAAATTCATTATTCATTCTTTGTAGTGTCAGTAAGTAACTAGGAGTCCTGCTTACTGTTTATTAAAAAGATAATGCGACGATAATATGTCTTTAAGAGAGGTGTTCTGTCTTGTTAGTCTTGCAGAAGGGTGATCTCACAGCAGTGCTGAAATGTTTCATTCAGGCAGGCAGTTGGTAAACAGCTTTGAGTTCTCCCTGGGTGTTGATTTTTTTTTTTTTTAATAAGACAAATGAATTATAAAGGGGGTGAGGATTTTGGTTTTGCATTCAGTTATTTTGTAGGTTTTTGCTGGGTGCTATAGCTGAAAGCTTTAGTTCTCTACTGCTAGACAGAAGTCTTAGAGGCTTCCTCTTAAAAATCAAAAAGAGCAGATTGTTTCTTTCTACAGGACTGGAGAAAGACAGCACGTGAGAATAATAACTGCTTTGCCAAATTACTTTTGCCAAGGGTGTGCTTATGGGATGTTGCCTACATTGGAACAGTTGATAATTAGTGGTTAAATAATACATTACCTTGTTTACTATTTCAACAAAGTTATGCAAATTCTTTTGTTCTATTTTAACAGTTGTAAGAATAAAGTGTTTTGATCAAAGCTTAGTGATGGACCAATCGAATCATATCTGGAGCACTACACCTTACACTTGCCTTTTTGAAAAAGTATATAAAAAAATTTAGGGTCTGGGTTTTTTCCATACTATACTTTGCGGGGTCTGATCAGGTCCATAGCTATAAACTTAGCATTCAGCAGCCGCGCTGCAAAGATTTGTGGACATTGTGTGAGTTTCTCTGTGTCTAACAGAGACAAATACTAAATGTATACTCTTAAATGAAATTTTTATACCCAACTCAACAGTCACTCAGCTTCCAGCACGTTTCCTCCAAAAGCAAGCGCCACAGGTGCTGGAAATCTATTTTTTTTAAATAAAGCAGAAAATGCCAGAAATACTCAGCAAGTCAGACCATATCTGAAGAGAGACAGAGGAAGTCTACATTGACAATGATGCCCTTTGATCAGAACTGATACAAGTTTAGAACAGTATAAGTTCTGAGCAAGGGGAAAGACAAACAAGGACAAACAAAGGTCTGAGAAATGAAAAACAGGAGTTGGTCTCCCCTGACTAAAGGGAATGGTGATGAGGCAAAAAGCAAAACAAAAGATGAGTGTAGAGCAGCTGTGCTGCTGACAAAGCTGAAGTAAGAGAAAAACTGAAACAAGTGAATTAAAAAAAAAACAAAAAAGAACTGAAGTGAGGTGCACTCATTGAGCCTCCTTAATGTCCAGTTCCACTCTTCAACCACCCTAATACTATGTCCTCATCCCATCGCACCTTTTCAAGCAATTGAAGGAGATTTAATACCTGCCACTTTAGCTCCTCTCCTCACCATCCAGAGCCCAAAACACCTTTCTGGGTGAAGCAGCGATATATGGGTATTTCTTTCAATCTAGGCTACTGTACTCACTGCTCACAATATGGTCTCCTCCACATTGCCAAGACAAATGCAGACAGGGTGACCACTTTGCAAACACTTTCCTCAATCTGAAAGCATAATCTTGCACTTCTACTGGCCTTTTGTTTTTAAATGTTCCACCTTGTTCGCAAATTGACCTCCTTGTCCTCAGCCTACTATACCATTCCAGTGAAACCTGATTAAATCTCAAGAAACACCACCTCATCTTTCAATTAGGCACTTCACAACCTATTGAGCTCAACACAGTTCAAGAATTTCAGGCCGCCATCTCTGTACCCTTTCTGTTTCCTTTTCTTTCCTTGTTTCCTTTTCTCTCTTATTTTAGCTTTGAATCAGCAGGATACCCACTCAAAAGGACATTCCTAAATTTAATATAAAAAACAGGAAGTGCTTGAAAAACTCAGCAGGTAACTCAGCATCCATGGAGAGAGAAGCTCTATCAATGTTTTGAATTTAATGGGACTCTTCAGCATTCAATCTGCTCTGAAGAAGAGGAGGCATATTGGACTTGAAACGTGAACTGTTTCTGTTTCCACAGAAAATCCAGACTGAAAGGAGCACCAGCCTTAAAACCACTGCCATGCAGTACTTTTAGGCCAGCGTTCCAGAAATAATTTACTGAGAAATTATTCAAATTTAAAAAGAAAATTCAAGTTGAGCACATTTGCTAAAAGATAACACTTTGGTACAAATTATTCAAAAATCTTAAAGCATGGTTACTGAACAACACTGTTTTTTTACTTAAATAATATAAAAGAACATTTGGGACTGAATTTAAAGCAAACCACTTACCTGCAATGAGAGCTAGTGTTGCCAAGTGTTCATTTTGCACCAGTTGGGCAAAAACAACTTCACCTCTAAAATCAGCAATCCCTTGAAATCGCAGAGCCAGCTGTTTTCCCTGCAGGATTTCCTGCACTGTCTCCTTGCATTCTTCAACAACATTCACCGCTCTGCCAGAAAAAAAATCATACAGCTTACATGAACAAAGGACTTAAACTTCCATCACCCTGTTCCAACCATGCAAAAGCTTCTACAATAGTCAAGTACCATAAAAGGTTTGGACAATGTCAGACAGCTATTTAAAATATAGCTGTCATCTGCTACTAAAATCCTTACAAAATATACTGGAAATAATCTTGATGAACATAACAGTACAGTTTGAATTAAAAGAACAATTTATACAAACTTAAATACAGCATATTGGCAATTAAAAAAGGTAAACAACTGTTTCTCTTCGTTGATCTGCAAAGGTGGAATTTAATGCCTCTTGTTTTAATTTGTACTGTACGTCAAATAATGTGCTGGTTATAAGTTGCTAAGAGAGGGATGCTGCAGGATTGGGTGGAGGAGCAGGCAATAAAAGGATTGGAAAGTTAAAAGTCTGTGACAGAAAACGATAACTGGACTCGGAGTCTCCTGTCAGCATAAACCTGGAAGTCCAACTTGAAAATGCATTTGTCTTGCTCACTTTGCCAGTCCAGCTCTGCCCAAATATCCTCACAATTCCATTATAATACACTCAAACTTAAAATAGACAGAAAGTAGCAATGGGGACACAAAGTGTCAAGCTATGCCATCTATTTATTTAAAGTATGACTATTTAAATTTCAACTCAACTTGTATTTTCATATCAAGCAAAGCAGTTACAAACATGCAGTCAAAATATTTTCTATTTTTTAATGTGAATTATGCTGTAAAAATATACCAAAAGAAACAGAAAATGTAGACGATGTTTCAGAGGATGAGGCTCTTTTAAAAATTCATTTTTCATGCTCTGACTGAAAACTTGGTTTAATGTAAACACTGTAAAGCAGCAAGAGAATTCAAGAGATTGACAAGGGTTTTATATAAATCTATAGTTTAGTACAAATAGCGTTTACACTTTACTCTTCTGGATCCTTTCCCACTCCACAAAGCAACCCTTCAATTGGGAAGAATTAAGCTTTTAATGAACATTGTCCACAATCAATCAATTCTGGATCTATGGGGTTTACTCATAAAAAGGGACAAGCATTTTTAACATTAACAGACTGATCCTCTGAACAAATTTCAACTGGAGAATGCTCACAAATCAGCAGCTTATGTGAAGGGAGTGGGGTTTGGAAGCTCTAAGGATGGGCTGGTGCTCAACAATCGAGCAGACTTTGATATACAGCTTTGTAAGTATTGCATAATTTCCCTGCACCTGAAATTCAGCAACTTTTTCCTGTCATGTAGTTGCTTTATGCCCAGATTATGCACATTATGAGTACTAATGCAATGGGGGTTCAGGTTTGAAAGTTTATTATACATGTATTTTCTACAAAAACTTAGTATACTCTCTTAAACATATTTTTCTAACAGTAAAAAGGGAAATGTCGTGGGAAACTGGAAGCTATGTACATTCTGGACAGAGAAGAGAGAGATTAATGAATCAAATGGAATACAAAGCAAAGACCACAAAATGAAACAAATTAAACCAGTAGAAGGATGGAGAAAACATAATAGCAGCAAGTTAGTCAGGTAATCAGTGTCTTTTTGATTAAGCTACAGTCTCTTAATTCTCTCAAATCATTCATTGCCTTAGAGGTGGAGCAAGTGATTTTACGGATTCCTCTTTTCTTTAGGGTTAGGATACTCTGACAAAAGCAATTAGTCCAGGAATTGTATACAAATGGATACAGCAGGAAAATAAGTTTCAAAAACAAAAAAAAAGTGTTGAATAGTTATTTTATAATGACTCAATGTCATCACAGGACAGGAAGCAGCCATTCGGTCCATCACTTCAATTTACTTCTACAAATGGAACACAACTGAATGTTAGCACCCAGTCAAGCACTCATTCTGAGAAGCCCTTTTAAGAAACTACTCACTTGTTTACCTCCACCTCATTTGCCAGGTGCATCACAAGAATGGTTACATGGAGACAGGCAACTGGTATCATGGCCTTGGAGAGTCTTTCATCCGCTTGGACGACAATGTGTTGTACAGCCTTGATGCCATCTATAATCTTGCATAATCAGAGAATTTAAAAATGTAAATTAGAAGCTTACCTACTGAGAAACTTCAGTGTTGATTCAGGTTCCATTAGCAGTTAAATGCAATGACATGTAAATGAATGATTGCAGAGCAACGACAATTATGAGGAATCGCAAATCAGAACAAGGAGGAAAAGATCCCCCCCACCCCCTGTCATGGAACATCTTTGCTGCTTCAGTAAGTAAAGTAACAAAATGGAACTTACACAAAAGTTTTCACCCGATATATCACCTTAACCCACTGCAATTAATTGTATGTCTACAAAAGCAGGAGGTAGTTTTTTTCCCAAACATCTTAGTTCACAAATTAAATTTCCCCTGAAAATTGCAGATTTTGATTTTCTTACTCTTTCCTGTCCTAATATAGGCAAAGTAAAGAGTTCATTTTATTCCATAGATCTGATGCAATATTCTAAAAGATAAGGGTGGGGGCACGGGGGTGAACAGTGCATGTTTTTCAGCCCTCGTGAGAAAGTAATGTTTTGCAGAGTAGCCTTTATCTGAAAAGGGTAAATATTGTTTTGATTTGTACACAAACTAGCCTATAGAGGGAGCCAGCTAACAAATACTTATTGTATGCTCAGCTGGAGATTCTGAATAACTATTATAAGCATCAACTAATGATCTTGTTTTGCAGTTGGAATGAATGTAATAGAACTTGTGACCAGTACTCATTGAACGTACAAGCTCAGTGAATTTACTGGTTTACTCACTTTTCTAAGAAGCCCATAAAATAATTATATATACATCCATGAAGCTACACAAAATAATGTTATGATATGGGCAAATGTGCAACAAATCAAGATAAGTGAATCTATGTCGTCATCAATTGAACATATTACTAATTTATCAGATGACACAATTCAAATGTTGGACTAAACTATAGGTTTTAAGAACGGCAATGTTATCTGACCAAGGTTTATAATTGGTTAGAGAAGCAGGATTCTGTGAAATTTAGAAAGCTTACACAAATTAAGAACACTGCGGTAACAAGTCAAGTGTGCACCACCATTAGAAAGAAAAAGCTCTATACAATAATCTTAAAATGTTTCCGTAGGTATTAAAGAAGAATATCGCCTCCAGCTACGGACAAAGTTAACACATTACTCCATAACTTACCAGGTTTAAATTCAATATTAAATTTACTATGGCGGCATTTGAACGTTCTCGGTTTTACGTTTAGCAATGTAACCACTATACCACCACACACAGGTGAATTTTGTTAAGGTTTTATAACATATTCTAGTTTTTTGATGAAAGAAAAGTTGAATTGGTTACAATAGCTCACAACCAGACAAGGATCTTTTGTTTCTATTTGACAAGTTCAATTTAGAAAGAGTTAAGAAGGCTTGCCTTTTGAATTGATAGGAAGTGGGTGAAAGGCAACTTTTAAATTTTTCAGCTTTTTTTCAAACTTACAACGGCTTTGAACAGGGAAGAAAATAGCTCAGTAATTACTCCACATCAACAAACTATTGTGCAGACATAAAACGCACTTTGAGAAAGGTTGCCTCATGAACTGGAGGGTGAAGGCCAGAGGAAAACAGTGCAACCTGCAAATTAAACAATATTGCAGTGGAGAATTATATAACTAATACAGGGATCACAGCATAATTGCTGGACGGAAAGCTCCTTTGCTTTCCCCAGGGGTGGCATAGGAAATCTAGAACCACAAATCACAATGTCAGAATATGGATAGGCCACTGAAGAGCAAGATGGATGAGAACTTATTCACACACAGGATAGTGAATTTTTGAAAATTTCTGTCCCAGAGGGCCCAGTCACTGAATATGTTCAAAATGGAGATCAATAGACTTCTTGAAAAAACAAAAGAACAGTGGATGCTGGAAATCAGAAACAAAACAGAAGTTGCTGGAAAAGCTCAGCAGGTCTGGCAGCATCTGTGGACAGAAATCAAGCTTAACCTTTCGGGTTTAGGTCCTTCTTCAGAAGAAGAAGGGTTGCTGCTGAAATTTTCCAGCAATTTCTGTTTTATTGTCAGTAGATGTCTACCTATTCAAATATCAAGGGACCCAGGAATCAAGCTAGGAAATGATGAAGTAGATCTGTCATGATCACACTGAATTTGAGTGGATGCGAACAGTTTAATGGTCTATTCATGTTCCTATTCCTTCATGTTCCTTTCAGAACTGAAGAGGAGAGCATTGTTGTGAAGAGAGGATGGAATCCCAGGATGGACAATAACTGTTGACATAATTTTTGGGGAAGCAATGGCACTTAATTCACCTACACTTTTCGCAGATTAAAACTCCAGGAACTAGTGAAGTAATAAAATGGTAAACTATCTGCCAGCATCTACAAAAGCAAATTTGAGAGAGGTAGTATTTAGATGTTTGCCATGGTTTAAAATGTCCCATCTGATAACCCTAAGAACCTCTAGTGCTATTTAGAGATCTAGGCTATGAATCCAAATCTTTTTCACAAACTCCCTAGAGTTTTTAATGTGTCAAATATTTTTGGTGTGGAGGTGCTGGAATTGGACTGGATTGGACAAAGTCAAAAATTGCACGACACCAGGTTATAGTCCAACAGGTTTATTTTGAACAGTAGAATAACTAAATCAGTCGTATTAACTGGCACACGTCATCTTATTAACTCTTTCTTAATAACTCTCAATTATTACAATTTGTTACATTAACTCTATGATGCCTACCTCCTGTTCACCATGTCCCAAACTAGCCCTTCTAACTTGGCCAATAGTCTGGTCACAGACAATCAATTCGGATTTTACCAGGGCTGCTCAGTCCCTGCATTTTCCCACACCTAAACAAAAGAGCTGAGTTAAAGGTGAAGCTCACTGCCTTCAACATTCAGTCAGTCTATGATTGAACAAGACATCAACGAGCCTCAGCAAAACTGCAATTAGTTGGAATTGGGAGAATTCTCTGCTGGTCAGAGACATAACTACCACAGAGTTTGTGGTTGTTGGTGGTCAATTATCTGGGACATCACTGCAAAGTCCCCAGCATATGAACTACACCCAACCATCTTCAGCTGCTTCATTAATAACCTTTCTGCCATCATAACGTCCAACATGGAAATGTTTGTTGATGGTTGCAAAATGTTCAACACTTCTTGCGACTTTTCAGATAAATGAAGCAGCCTGTGTTCCTATGCAGAAAGTCGTTGACAACATGCAGGCATAAGCTGAAAATGGCAAGTAGTATTTGTGCCACCTCCAACAAGATAGCATCTAGCATCTCCCCTTGACATTCAATGGCATTACCCCCACTATCAATATCCTGCTGGTTACCTTTGATCAGGAACTAAAAGAAGACAGCCGTAGTAGTAATATGGCTACATGAAGTCAGAGGCTAGGAATTCCGTACAATCCAAGTCAACTCCCATCTCCACAGTGACACTCTACCATCTACAAGGCAGATGTCATGAGTCTGAAGGAATATCCAACATTTGTCTGGCTGAAGGCAGCTCCAACAACAACATTCAAGAAACTCAACACAATCTAGGATCAAGCAGCCTGCTTGGCTGTTACCTCATCAACCACCTTCAAAATGCACCAAGCAGCAGCTGGGCGCACCATCTAAAAGATGTACCACAGCAATACACCAAGGCTCCTTCGCCAGCACCTTCTAAAATCATGATCTCTACCACTAAAAGGACGAAGGGCAGCAGATGCATGGAACACCTCCAACTACAAGTTCCTCTCCAAGCCACAAACCATCTTGACTTAGTTATCATTCTTTCACTGTTGCTGTCTTAAAGGAATGGAACTCCTTTCCTAATAGCATTGAGAGTGCAGGTACACAACATGAACTACAGAAGTTTGAGAAGGCAGATCACCACTACCTCAGAGGGCAATTAGAGATGGGCCAGCCTGTGACACCACACTCCGAGCATGATTAACCAGGCTGCAGAGAATCATGGGCGGTAACCTATGACCTACTACTCCAAAAGATCATATAAATTCCAGCTTCACGTTTGTTCTCCTTTGTGTCAAATCCCCGAATGCTGTTCCAGGTCATTCCCTTCTTGGAGGTTGTAAACAATCTGATTCATGAACAATAGGCTTAACATTTCAAAAGGAGTAGTGCTTTTCCAATAACCTTAGCTATAAACAACTGCAAATTCTTGCTATTTTTGACAGACTGAAAAAAAGTAAGCTGTTGGCCTAGTGTATCTTTTGTTCTCAGCAAGAGCTAACAAAGTTTGGATTTAATAGTACAGAAGGAAAATACAGAAAGGTTTTAAAAATCTAACAGCAATTTATATGTTTGGGGTCTCAGCAAACTGAACCACCACATTGTTAGTTGTGTCACTGGCCCACAATTTGCTGGCAAAATAATGACGTTAAAAATGCCTTTATTCATGAGTAAAAAGAACAGGAAGATGTGCTGTGTTGATTTACACTGTTCCATTACCATTAGTCTCAAGAACACTCCCCCAAATTTCAGAAATTTGCTGGATTTGAACTTTAAATACAAACTAAACTGGTCATAAAATGCTACAGCTGTCATGTTCATCAATGCAAGCATTCTTTTCGTGATGGATCCATGTTTTGATAATACCAATTAACCTCAGAGGCCCAGAAAGGAAATATGTAAAGCAGATAAGTTGCAGTCCCGCAGGTAGCAAATCAATCCTGTTTTTACCTCACAGTGCCTTCATATATGTTTTTCATCTATCTTAATCTAAATTTTCTTTTTCTGTTTTTACTTCTCTTTGCGTACCTAAATAGGTCTTCAATCCATTTCATTTGCTTTGCCATTGCTCCTTTTCTCATTTACTAGAATGAAACTCAACAGAATTCAACTGGACTCACGCCGTAATCACAGTGGCTACAAGAGCAAGTCAGTGGCTAGGAATACCACGGCATTAAACCCGCTTCCTCACTCCTCAAAGCCTGTCCACTATCTACAAGGCACAAGTCAGGAGTGTGATGGAATACTCTCCACTTGCCTGGATGGGTGCAGCCCCAACAACACTCAAGAAGCTTGACACCATCCAGGACAAAGCAGCCCATTTGATTGGCACTACATCCACAAGCATCCACTCCCTCCACCACAGACATACTGTAGCAGCAGTGTGTATTATCTACAAGATGCACTGCAGAAATTCACCAAAGATCCTTGGACAGCACCTTCCAAACCCACAAACACTTCCATCTAGAAGGACAAGAGGAGCGGATACATGGGAACACCACTACCTGCAAGTTTCCCTTTAAGTCACTCACCATCCTGACTTGGAAATATTGTTGTTCCTTCACAGTCACTGGGCCAAAATCCTGGAAATCCCTCCCGAAAGGCATTGTGGGTCAACCTACAGCATGTGGACTGCAGTGGTTCAAGGAGGCAGCTCACCACCATCTCCTCAAGGGGAAACAAAGGAAGGGTAATAAAATGCTGGCCAGCCAGTCATGCCCACATCCCACGAATGAATAAAAAAATTCACTAAACTCAAGTTTCACTGTTTAAAGAGGTAGCCTGTTGGATTTGTCATTTACCAAGATTCCAGATACTATTACCCTCTAACAATTCCAGTAAAAGACAATGCAAACCTTTCCAAATTGAAAGGTGAGAGAAAAGAAAATCTAACATGCCACAAGATGCCCTGATGCAGCAAATTTTCAGTCATGAATGAGGTGAGAAGGAAGAGATCAACAGAAAGCTATTTCAAATATAACTACAGCCCTGATTTTGCAGTGATCTGTCAACATCCACTTTCAGTAATTTTCTGAAAAGGTCTGTAACTTAGAGTTCAGGCATATGAAGAACAACATGAAAATCTAGAATGTCTAGAGACGGTCATCCCCATATGCTGCGCTGAAATCCTCCAAGAATACAGGGAGGTAGAAAATCACAGAAATGACTAAAACATACCCTTTTCATCTAGCTGTAAATGTATGCTGTAAACATGTATTTTATTATCTGTAAAAATATAAAATTACTAGAGAAAGAATACAGTTGTTAAAGCAAAGTCCATTCATTGATGGATGCTGAGACTCCGTTGACATGGGTGACTTTTAAAAAAAAGAGGAACACAGTTCCAAAAGAAAGTTAACATCAACTGTTTCTCTGTCCACAGAATTCTTCCAGACCCGAGTTTCTCCAATACATTCTGTTTTTACTTCAGATTTCCACTGTCCGCACTACTTTGCTTTTATGTGGAAAAGAGGAACTCTGAACCACAGAGGTTGCTGAATCTTTGCTGATTCCAAAGAAAGCTGTCCATAAAGAGCGTTGTTGCTTTGTCACGGACAACAAATTCTGTCCACTGTCTTTTTTGTGATAAATTAAATGTGCTCTAAATTACTCCAATACAAATTATATTCAAAATGAAAATATTTCGATCAATACTATACTGTTCACTGAGTTGCATGTTTAAGTCAAATGATTACTGTAATTAACTGGAAACTATGTTAACATAGCTTAGAAATTTGTCAAAACACTCCCATAAAAAGTTACCACATACAAGACATTGTCAAATTAACGATTTATGAAATTCTACCAATAATTTCAAACAGTAATTAGTAGCAAAATTTTAACGTGATTGACATTCATATCCCAGAGGAACACTGAAGAAACGAGTGGATACAATTAAGAAGAATCTATTCTATGATTGTGGACTGATGATAGGAATGGATGCGAATGAATTTTCAGAATACAAGAATATGCATGACCGTTATGGATCATGTGACCAATTCCAAAGTTTAGAAAATGTCACACTAGACTCTCTTGTATCCATCTATTACAAGATGATATGGTTGCTACTGGCTGTTCTTTGCTAGTTTTATGTATTTGAGCTATTTACAAAATAGTACAATTATTATGGTAAGACCTTGCTTACAAATAAGCTCTGTAGAAATTAAAATAAGCAACACCCTACACACTTTCTTGGTTCTACAGACTAGAATACAGTTAGAAATGGAAATAGTTCTGACTGTTGAGTTAGGGTCTTTCTATTTACATAACTTTAGTAACAAATTATTTTTATAATATAAATACCAAATTATTTACCTTTGGGTTTGTTATTGGGATAGATACAAAGTAATTTGGATGAACCTTTTTCTTCTTTTTTTGACCTGCATCATCTTCATTCTCACCACCTAAAGTCCTCTTTCTCTTTTTCTTCGAAGTCTTTTCAGGGAGTGCAGTGACTGAAAATAAAAACACCAAAAAGTAGAAATAGTGGCATGTTTGGGACTATTCTGAGGTGAGACCTAAAATTAGTACACACAACTTCCTTGAGAGATCTCAAATGACATCATTGGATACCCTACCTTTTATTGCTGTCAGTCAATGATTTTCAAATCAATTCAGAATTTAAAAATGCCTCGTCAATTTGACCTGGCAAAAAATATACCAAATGGAAGGATCTGAAAACCCTGTCACAGTATCGTGAAAATGTATTTATTGATCATGATTCTTTTCATTACTTTCAAAATATATTCATTCAAAATAATTTACAGTTTGCAGACTAATGTTCAAGTCCTAGTTGTAACTTCTAAACTTTCTCCTTTGCAACTCCTCCTTTAAATTATGTCTGTAAGGTGACTCAGCAGAAATGCAAACAAAAACAATTTGTAACTAGCATTAATTACAACATCACTATACTTAGAATTTCTCAGAATATGCAAACTGAATGCACATGCCTGTTATGTATTTCAGTAAGTTACTGTAACATGGGAATACTATCTCGGCTGACACATCAATGCAGTACCAGGGCAGTACAACTACTATGTTGGGGACGTTGTTGGTCAAATGAAGTATTAATCAAAGGCCTGTAAATCCTCTCAAGTATACGTAAAAGAAAATCAAGGCATAAATCAATAAAGATTTCTCCAGTGTAAAGCCAACATTCATCCCTGAATCAACTTCACTGAAACAGATTATTGAATCTTACTACTAGTCTTAATCCTTCATAATTTAGCTGCCACTTTGTTCCCCTCAAGATAGAAATGATTACGCTTCATTGATTGTGAATCAATTTGGGAAAAGGACACAAAAGATACCATATGAATGTACATTCTTACTTTTTTAATGAATTATTAATTTGCATTTACTTTTTTATATCAACGAGAACTTTACTGTTAAGTTAACAATGAGCAATGTTTTTATTTTATTTGCTACATAACTGCAATTAAGAGGCATTCCCTTGGAACCCATTTCATATTTATAATATAATTCATAAAAAATCATTTTACCCAACACATGTGGGGACAGAAAGATCACAAACAGCTAAAAGGAAAAGTATGGCCATCACTGCTGTTAAATACGACGACAAATAAGAAAAGAGGAGCTAGCTACATTTATTTAGCACCTATCATAAAAACCTCACTGTATTCTAAAATCAACTCATAGCCAATTAAGCATAGAATGAAACTGTAGTGATTAGAACCAGGTGGATCTTATTGACTATGTGATCATTCATTGGGCCAATCAGGCAGCCCTGGCTAATAGATATAAACAGGGGAATTCAGAGTCTCATCACTTCAGGGACTGACTCCGAGCTGGCTGGCTACAACCAGTGTACTGTGCATGTATAAATAAAGCTTGACTTGGTGACGAGATACCGGCCTCTGTGTAGTTATTTCAGAAACAAAGCAAAAGCAGACTTTATTTTTATGATAAATAAGTGGACTAAGCACCCAGTCAACCTGTGCTGCCAATTAGATTTTGTGTTTGTGGCTTACCTAACCTCTCCTGAAATCATTAGCCAGGCTAAAACTTGTAGTTACAAATGATGCCTTAAACAATTGCACATTCACAACTTTGTGCTTTCCCATGCCACTATCAATGTTCTCGAACTACCCCATTGTGCAAATACCAAAATTACGAATAACAAGAGCATTTTATTGTATAACATCTTGTACAACTCTGCAACATAGAATTAACATTCGTGGAACAGGTTAGCTGGAAGGACATGCATCAAGGAGATCAGTTTGGCAACAGTGAGAATGTGAGGGGTGCTTTCTTCGTTTATGACAGATAGAAAGGCAATTCTCAGCTTATTTCTTATCGAGAAATTGATTATCCTAATCAAGAACAATATTAGTATGAAATGGGAGAATGGCCTGTAAAGACATGGAACTCATGTTGTTCATATCTACACACAGCAAAATCTATCCAGTCCTGCAAATTCAACTGGATTATTGAACTCCTACAAATTCAAATAACTCTCATACTCACCCTTAAACTGAAGTAGCTAATTATAAATCACTAACACTGGAAAAGAAGAGATGCACCTATTGCAGTTGAAAAATCGATAGGTTATCTATATACACTGACCTGGAGATAGCTAGATAATAGCCTGGATTTTGCACCCAGGAGGAAAAGAATGTTAGCTGCCTTTCATTATGCTTGTTTTAATTATGTTTACAGCTGCCCTCAGATTTTTGTGGGATTTTCAGTAGCAACAAACAGTTATTGGCTGCCAGAAACAGTGCTACATACTCTGCTTGGGATCTGAGACATGTGTGAACACAGAGTGCCTCTTTAATCCATCAGACTTCATACTGAGTAATACAGAACACAAGCCAAGAAGTGTAACTTGAAATATTTCATTCAGTGTAAAGTCTTTTACAGAATACAGAAAACAAGTGCAAAGGATAGAGAGGAAGAAAGCAAAAAAAGTGGATTGAGCAGAGAGGAGAGAAATCTTCAATATACATATATAAAACATTTCATTTATTATGAAGGAATATTATTGTAAAAGTTCATTGTCAGCGTCAGGAAAGTTCTTTGACAGTAAATACAACTCAACATACAATCAAAAATTCACTTACACACGGATGTACAAGATCCAACATCCACTGACATGGGTAACCTATGAATAAGGACTGTAATTCATGTCCTCAAATGTATTTCAATGCTGGGGATGATTTTTATTGCAAAATCCAGGCTGTTATCTCTGAGGCCACAATTAATGTATCAAAAACTGAAACAAACCCTACCACCAAAAGAAAAATACAAAACTTACAGCCACACTCTTCCCTAATTTCAGCTTTTGCAAATGGAAGTTCTGCCAGAAGACTTTTAATTTCGTTCTTTGCAGCAGATTGATTTTTCTTCTGCTTCTTTGCTTTCAACCTCTTTTCTTTTGTTTCCTCTGTTTTTTCTGTACCCTCAAGAACATCTATGTAACAGTAAAAGCCATTAAACAATTTTGCAGTTAACAAGAACATTTGTATAAAATTAATCCAATTGAATAAGGAAATGGGTCAAAGTAAGCAGTAATCTTTGGTCATATAGAGTAAAACTAAGAAATTAAAGCAATGTGATTTACATATGTACAGGTTCAGAGGTGGCAACCAGGACAGGATTTATCTTATACATGGAAGACTCCAATAGAAGACACACCAAAATTACTGACCCGAATACTAAACTCAGTTCAATTTTTAAAAATGGAGGAACTTTTTTAAAATTTTACAGTTTCTTTAATCATATTTGCAAGAACAAGGTCTATCTAAACTAACTTTCCAGATTTTCATCCCAGGAAATAGCTGCACAATTTGTAAGCTGTAGAGGTTTTACAACACTTTAATGGTTATTATCATTCAGTTTCTTGCAGAAGTGTTTAAATGCTGAGGTTCCATTTCACTACTCAAGTAGGTATAAAAGATTGGATGGCACTACTTGATTGAGAGATAGTTTTCCCAGTGTCCTGGCCAACTTTTATCCCTCAATCAAAAATCATTAGAACAGGCAATTACATAATTTATCTCTTTGTTGTTTGCGGAATCTTACCCTAAACAAACTGGCTGACAAGATTTGCCTGTTTAATCACACTGACTACTTTCCAAAAACAACATTCATGCACTCTGGGATCTGCTGAGAATATGAAAAACATTATAAAACTGAAATTTTTTTTTCATTAATTGCATTGAACAGACACTTTATTTGGGTTCTTACTTGGCTCTGCACCACAAAATACTGCAGGGTCATAATAATGGATTTGTTTCTTGCAATGCTTTGTAACAATTAAAGAATTCTGCAGCACAGCATTGTCTACTCCTTGTGGGTATCTTAAAATCTGTCAAGTACAAACTGCAGCATAAAAAAAATGCTACTTACATAGCGTGAATTATGCACAAAAGACTGTTTGCAAGCCGAACAGTCAAATTCATCAATCTCAGCTACCATTTAGAATTCTGGTGATGAAATTGCAGTGGTTCTCAGAGCACAGCATTGTCTTCTATGTTACATAGTCAGTAGCACCAATTTTGTTTGGGTTTGTGTCCCATAAAGTTTTCACTACAATTCAGTAAGGTGTAATAGTGTGCACGTTAAAAATGCATTGTACCCACCTGAACTGTGGAATAGCATTGCACTGTGAGATATATCTGACTTTAGAAACACAAGTGGTGTTTTGAGAGCATATTTTGAGCTCTATCACCCTTAGAACAGCATTGATAATTAGAACTTGGTTGGTGATCACATTATTTTGAGGTGACGAATAAAGATTACAAATGAAACAATGTTCACAACAAAGTAACAGGACAACAGAAAAGGTTTCAAATTATCAGTGTGATGGTCTTAGCGTTCTTGCAGTTCCAAAGAACAGAATTCACCAGCTATTTCAGTTTCATTCCATTACAGTAGTCCCAACAGTTCATCTTAATATTTCAAACCATACTCAAATAAATATAAGTAATGCATTTTTCAATTACAATAAATCAAAATTAGGACCCACATGTAGACAGCCAACATATTCTGTACAGCGCCAACATCTTTCTCATCAGAAGATTATTTTAAAGTGGTCACATAGCAAAGTATTGTGTGTGTTCATTTATTTTCCCTTTATCATGAATAGCTCAAGCTTTGTATAATATACTCACATAGTTATTGCTTTGTTATGTTGTCAACACTGAGTAATAAAATGCGACAGATGCCCAGATGGGACTATTTACTAATAATCCACTTAACCAGATTATACCTCAGTAAGCATTTGTTTAGAACCCTTCAGTCTTTCATTTGCTACGTCAGCTGTGGATACTTGCGCATATGAACTTACAGCTATTTTCTTGCACAATTCTACCTGCATCTTGAAATTAGTGTAGTGTAATAAAAGTTGAGAATCTGACAGAATCTGGATATAGAACATACAGATATTATATCGTAGTCAAGGAAGTGACTGCATCACTAATGGATACAACTGACTCAAAAAGATGTGGCATTGAGGATTGCACACTGATTATATCACAAACTAGCTTAACATTCCTCAGCCTAAAAAACAAAATAGATTTGCATATTTAGTGCCTTTCACAACCTCAGGATGTTCCAAAGCACACTACAGCAATGAAGTATACAACAGTTACTGTTGTAATGTAGGAAACATGGTAGTCAACTTGTGCACTGAGAGCTTCTATAAACAGTAATGAGATAGCCTATTCATATCTTTACACTTATAGCTCAATTGTGCCTGAATTTTCTTTCATTTGCTCAGAATCTTCAACTGTTTCCATCTCCTACAAAACAACACAAAAGCACATCACTTAAAAGCAATTCTAATTAAACAATCTTTTGCCCAGCCATCTGTCTGTCACCATTTAGTCTTAAATCCTTTATCATGGTTGAATGTTCATGTACAATTACAATCTCATTAAAACAGTTGGTAAATATATTACAGAGGGAAAACCAAATTACTACAGTATATATGCCTGAACTGGTAAAAATCTGAACATGATTGAAATTCACTCCAGCTTCAGATGCCTTTCTCCTGCCAAACACAAAACATCCACATCTACAAACAAATCTCGATTCTCTGTGATCCAAAATGTTATTTTGTGTATTAAGTTATTTTGAATATTAGGCCACAAAATAAGCAAACTCTTTTACAAATGAGGTATGTACAGGAAAGGGTAAAAGCTCATAACATGATCTAGCTCTGACTACCAATAGCTGAACTCATTTTGTTTGTTTAGTCAAATTTACTTTTAAAACATTTTGGTGCAAACGCTTTATGAAACCCAAAAATCTGAAAGAGAGAATACACTCCCAAAAAGTTTCCTGCATGTAGTTTCTGCCACATGGTACAACAACAGCCCTTCATACAAACAACCTCATTAAGCCAATTCAGTCTGGGAACAATAGTCGAAAGCTTTGCTCCTGTTTATTGTGTTCACTTGATTGCTGCCAAACTGAAATGATTGCGTCCTGCAAGAGATAATTTGGTTCCCACTAACACACTAATAATGTAAGCTTTTGTTCTTCCTTTGGGAATGGGAATTACAATAGCGAGTTTTGAGGTTCTAAGGATGACAGTGTGATAGGACACAATACAGAAAATAGAAAGTTAGTTGAGCTGAAATTTACCCAGAGAAACAGTGGCATAGTTAAGTCAGGAAATGACAGCATAGTGAATGAGATGGCTTGAGATAGAGGTGGCAGTAGGCAACATAATGCAATTGGAAACAACTAGCCTTTATGATAGAGAAACACAGACAAAAGTTCAGCTTGGGTTGAGCAAGATGCCAAAGATAATAAGAGTTTGGCTCAACCAGGATGATGACCAGGAAGGTAATACAAATGGCATCCAGGGTACAGAGGTTCTGGACCAGTGTAAAGTCAATGACTTAGTTGCAGGAAATTGGAAATTGTCCAAGATTGGAAGTCATACAAATTGCTCAACAATACAGAGTGATGATGGAGAGTAAAGTTGAGTATTATCAAAATATATCTGGTATCTGCATATGATGCTGTCAAGAAATAGCAGGTATGCGGCAAACAAGGTGTTCCTAGATAGGTAAGGTTGTAAGCAGGGTTGCCTTGACATCACTACTGGAATGTTTAGGTTGACAAGTATGAAAGCCACCATACTAGACAACAGAGGAAAAACAGTGGAGAAGGACGGTGTCAAGAGGAAAAATATACTGCAATTACAGTAAGTTTTATTTGTAACTGATTAAGATTGTCACATCAGTAGTAGAATATATGGTTTATCTTACTCCTGTATTCCTTATATTTGTCACCAATGAGGGAAGGCACAGCATCAGATGGAGACAACATTTTGTAGCAAGGGGGTGGGATGAAGTCTCCAGACTTACTAACTTTCATGAGTAACTTTCTAAGACGCCTTTAGAGCACTGATGCTTTGTAATTGGTTTCTGGGAGGATCAGAGTCTTCCCCTCTCTCTGTCCTACAAACATACGTAATTAAAAATGTTTTCCCGTTTTAAACCATTAAAACACAGATCATAATTACAAACTGGTTTCAAAAAACACACATTCTCCCAAATCAAATAGCAAAGACATTGCCTTTGCCCATCAGTTTCTATTACTCCTTCCTGAAGTGTTCAAAAGTCATGATTGACAATTATTTTAGGCAGTATTTCTCTCTTCTCTTGACTCAACCTCACTTTTTGAAAATGTTTCAAAATTTGCTTGAACAAAAACCATAAGAAAGAGTAGACCAAGGAGCCACTCAAGCCTGTTCTACTCTTCATTACAATCAAGGCTGATCTTTGGACTCAATTCCACTTTTCAACCTGGTGCCCTGTTCAACTCCAAGAAATCAAAAAATTGCCTCTCTCAAATACAGCAGCAACAATTCCAAGTGGTAGAAAATTACAAAGATTCATTGAAGATACCTCTCACTGCAATCCTAGATGATTAATTAGCTGCTTATCCACAGAATTTGCCTCAGTGCTTGTTCAAGATACCTCGACAGTGGAAGTAACCGCTCATTGATTACCCTGTCAAGACAAGTCTTGAATATTTCAATGAAATCACAGAATCCCTACGGTGTGGAAGCAGGCCATTTGGCCCATCGAGCCCACAACAACTCTCTGAAGAACATCCCACCCCTCCCCCATCCCTATTTCCTATTTCAGAAGTCTAGACAGCACGGGCTCAATTTACTCAGCTTTGCATCATAGAACAATTCTCTCAGCCCAGGTGCCCAAATTAGCAAAGCTTCAGTGCACCATTTCTAACACAAGCAAGGCCAAAACTATACACTGTATTCCAGTTGCAGCCTTTTCAAAATTCTGTACAAATTATTACAATATTTTCTTACTCACATTCTAAACCATGGCAAATCAGAGTCAACATACCACTTGCCTTCCTAACTGATAGCTATTCATGTACATTAACTTTCTGTGCCCCTTACAAAACTACACTCAAGTCCCTCTGAACAATGTTTACAAGTTTCACACCTTTTCAAAAACATTGTTTCTTTATTCTTACAACCAAAGTGAATAACTTCATGTTTCCCCATTTTGTACCCCATCTGCCATTTTGTTATCCACTTATTTGATTTGTCTATGTTTGCATTCTCCTCATAGCTTCACTCCCACACAGCTTTGTACCACCTGCAAAAATATACATTACTTTCTGTATCATTACGTCATTATTACTGATTGTAAATAGCAGAGAACTGATGCTTGCAGCACTCCACTAGCCACAGTCTGTCAACTTGAAAGCGACCTATTTATCCACACTCTCTGCTTCCTGTTCATTAACAAATTCCCTATCCTTGCTGATACATTATCCCTAATTCACGAGCCCTTGTCTTGTGTATTTTTTGTGTGGCACCTTATCTTTTGGAAATCCACATATAGCATAACAAGTAGCTTCCCTTTATCTATGGAATTAAAGTTTTGATGATGTGACTCGTACATTTCTAATAACAGAGCTTCACTTTCATAAAAACATGTTGACTTTGTCTAACTGTGCCATGATTTTCTAAAAGATTTTTGAGATTTTCTTCCTAGGCTTTAAATATTGTTCAAACACAAATAAACGACCATAAGACACAGGAGCAGAAATAGGCCATTTGGCCCATCGAATCTGCTCAACCTTTTAATCATAGATTCCTGATTAGTAAGGGGATCAATCTCTCTCAGTCTTAAAATACACTCAATCACTTGGCCTCCACAGCCTTCTGCAATAACAAGTTCCACAGATTCAATAACTTCTGGCTGAAGAAATTCCTCCTCATCTCAGTTTTAAACGCTGTCCTTTCACTGAGGCTTAGCCCTCCTACTCATGGAAACATCTTCTTCACATCCATTCTATCCAGGCCTCTCAGTATTTTCTAAGTTTCATTGAGATCCACTCTGATCCTTCTTCACTCTGTCAATTTAGGGAAGGCAATGGCTTAACGGTATTATCATTAGACTATGAATCCAGAAACCCAGGTAATGTTCTGGGGACCCAGATACAAGTCCCGCCATGGCAGATGGTGGAATTTGAATTCATTAAAAAATTAAATCTGAAATTAAAGAGTCTAATGATGACCATGAAACCACTGCTGAATATTGGAGAAACCCATCTCGTTCATTAATGCCTTTTAAGGAAGGAAATCTGCCATCTTTATCTGGTTTAGCTACATATGACGACAGCAATGTGGCTGACTCTCAACTGACCTCAATTACCGACTCTTCCTCATACATCAAGCCCTTTCTTCCAGGATCATTCTTATGAACTTCCTCTGGACCCCCTCCAAGGCCAGGACATTCTTCCTTCGCTACAGGACCTAAAACTGCTCACAATATTCCAAATATGGTCTGACCAAAGCCTTATACAGTCTCAGAAGTACATCGCTGCTCTTGTATTCTAGCTCTCTTGAAATGAATGTGAACATTGCATTTGCCTTCCTAACGGTGAACTGAACCTGCATGTTAAGAGAATCCTGAACTAAGACTCTCAAATTCCGCTGTGCTTCAGATTTCTGAAGCCTTTCCCCATTTAGAAAATATTCTATGCCTATATTCTTCCTACCAAAGTACATAACCTAAAACGTTCCCAAATTGTATCTCATGTGCCATTTCTTTGTCCACTCTCCTGGCGCGTCCAAGTCCTTTCTCAGCCTCCCCGCTTCCTCAACACTGCCTGCCCCTCCACCTATCTTTGTATCATCTACAAACTTAGCAACAATGCCCTCAGTTCCTTCATCCAGATTGTTAATGTATACCGTGAATAGTTGTGGTCTCAACACTGACCCTTGAGAAACTCCACAAATTATCAGTTGCCATCCTGAAAAAGATCCTTTCATCCCTTCTCTGTGCCTTCTGCCAGTTGGCCAATCCTTTACCCATGCCAATACCTTTCCCCAGCACTATGGGCTCTTACTTTATTTAGCAGTCTCCTGTTTGGCACCTTGTCAAAGGCCATCTGGAAATTCAAATAGATCACGTCCATCAGCTCTGCTTTGTCTAACTTGCTTGTTGACTCCTTAAAGAATTCTAACAGATTTGTCAGGCATGACCTCCTCTCACTGAAACCGTGCTGACTCAGTCCTATTTTACCATGCACTTCCAAGTGCTCCGCAATCTCTTCCTTAATAACAGACTCTCAAATCTTACTAACGACCGAGGTCAGGCTAACCTGCCTATAGTTTCCTATCTTCTGCCTCCCTCCCTTCTTAAGCAGGAGTTACATTATCCATTTTCCAGTCCTCTTGGACCTTCCGTCACTTGTAATTCCTCAAAGATCACCTCCAACACCTCCACAATCTCTTCAGCTATCTCCTTCAGAACACTGGGCTGTAATCCATCTGCTCCAGGTTATTTATCCACTTTCGGACCTTTCAGTTTCCCAGCACCTTCTCGTTAGTGATGTCCACTACACTCACCTCTGCCCCCAACTCTGTTGAAGTTCTGGTATGCTAGGTGTCTTCCACTGTGAAGACTGATGCAAAGTACATATTCAGTCCTCCACCATTTCTTTCTTCCTCATTACTACTCCAGGCTCATTTTCCAGTGGTCCAATGCCCAATCTTGTATCTCTCTTACCTTTTATATGTCTTAAAAAACTTTTGTAACCTTCTTTTATATTACTATATACTTGCGCTTATCCTGCTGGATCACCTTCCAATCAACTCTGGCCAGCTCCCCCTTCAAGCCCTACTTTATAGACAGACATCGAGACTGAAATATTCTATGACTTGACTATCTGACATGTTCCTGATAATGTCACAGAAACTGACTGCGCCACGTATGCTCAGACTGTAGGAATTCCCTTTAGCTAATGACATCACTACTCCAGGCAAAAATACTAAATCCAAGCCCAGCGATCTGGAAGGTGTAAGGCATTTATGTAAAAACTCTAATGAAACAATTTAAAGCAATAATAAAACAGAATTCATTTGGTAAATTTTCTATTTAAATTCATTTTATAAATCATATCTAAAATCAGAAATTTCAGTTTGAAATTAGAAACTTGTCCTCCCAAAAAGCCGTTTGGATTGACCAAATTGGTTCTTCAATTAATAACTGTAGTAAAAGATCTGTGACATAGGTTGCCATTATAAATTTTTATATGGGAATTTTCAATGTTGAATATTCGCAGAAAGTAACTCAATGGAGATTGTGTACTAAAAGTATGTGGCATTTGTAAAATTAATGTATATGATCCACCAGTTAGAAGTATCACCACAAGTGGGCCTGACAAAGCACAGCAGTAATGTGACACAGCATAAGTACAGATCCTTTTCCTCACCATGATTAATGCCACAGCTGATATTTTATATTATAGATCAACATTAAATAATGCACAAATTGTGCACAGAAACGTAGCAAATCTTGTCAGATGATAATGTGTAGTTTCAGAAAAAGATCAGTTTTTGTGCTTCAATTATAAATGGTTCAAAAACGTTATAAATAAACGTTTCTTAAATCATGAAAAGAAAGCATTCATGATTTCAATATGTTATGAGTGATTCTCACCATTTTGCAGACAGCCTTTATCATTTGAATCTGAAAGTAACCAGCCTGAGTTAGCAGGCGAATCCCCTACGCAAGTTGCAGGCTCAAGTGTTAACTCCGCCTGATGTTCTTCGTTGCTTTGCTGATCATAATCGAGAAGCATCATTGTATTATCTTCTTCCGTATTTAAAGACACTACTTCCATTGCCCTAAAAAATAGTGAACGCAAGGGCCGTATTGCAAAGTACCTGGTGTCCGGTTCACACACTTTAAAAATAGGTCTTAGAAGTAAAACTGAATAATGGCGTACAAAGTTTAAAAGATAAAAGACCAAACTTCTTTCCAAACAATGCGTTGTTTTGGAACAATTGAATTTATCGGGCCAGTCCAACTTCATAAAACATTGAGATAATGCAAACTTTCCACAACACTGGAAGTCCAGCTTCTCCGCAGGAGCACTGCAAGGTATGGAAGCTGGAAGTTGCAAACATGTTGACCTTTCACATTCTAATTCTGGCACATGGATCACACAACACTGGTTTCCAGAAGCCAGGTCCAAACTGCAGCCGGAGCAAGTCGCGGGCACAGGGGGCCAGCAGCTCCACGTTCTCCCAATGCTCGGCGACAGCGGCGGCGGGGACGGGCTGCACGAATACCTGAAGGTCCTGTTGGCGTCCGGATCTCCCCTGCGGCATGTTGCAAACAGACCGACAGATGAGAAGCAGGAGCGGATGCGGCCGAGCATTGAGCGCTAGAACCTGCTGGAGGCGGGGGCGGGGGGACGCCGGGCTCCGGTGTCGGGTCCGGAGTCCGAAAGGCGCGAGAGGCCCAGGGCCCGGGTTCCAATCGGGGATGGTCCTCCAGCTACGGCGGCGCGCGAGGGCCGCACGCGGGCTCGTTGTTTGTCGCACGCGGTCACGTTCGGACGCTGTACCCAGGCTCTGTTTGCTGCAGCCTCAGGTGTGACAGCGGCACAGCCATTCACTTAAGTCGCCTACAGGCAGAATGTCAATCAAATGCTCCCACGCATGGCACAGGCTTTCCCAAGTTTTTCACTGAGACATGTGCAGAGTCTATACTCTGGGTGTTGCACTGCCACAATAAACAACGAGATAAGCAATTTCAGTTGTTACTCCACCGCTGGTAATTAGTCTGGATTGGTGTAAAGTGATTTTGCGACTACAGGTTTACATGGTAATTCATTTGTTAATGAAAAGTAACGCTGACTCTATCTTTCACAACTTCAAGATGAGGAGAATTTCTTCATTCAGGATGCTGATCTGTGAAGGTATCCACATGTTATGTTGCCTTCCAGGTGCCAGGATAAGGGACATCTCTGACTGGCTTGAAAGGATATTGGAGAGGGACGGGGAGGATCCAGTTGTTGTGGTCCATGTAGGGACAAACAACATAGGCAAGACTAGGAAAGAGGACCTATTTGGGGATTATCAGGAACTAGGAACTAAGTTAAAGAACAGGTCCTCAAGAGTTATAATCTCCAGATTACTGCCCAAGCCATCTGCAAATTGGTATAGGGACACTAGAATAAGGGAAGTAAACACATAGGTAAAAGTGGTGCGGGAAAGAAGGGTTCTTTTTCACGGGGCACTGGCATCAGTATTGGAACAGGAAGGATCTGTACCATTGGGACAGTCTCCACCTGAACCAATCTGGCACCAATGTTCTAACAAAAAGGGTAAATAGGGTGGTCAACAGGACTTTAAACTAGAAACTGGGGGGAGGGGAAGGGAAGCATAACACTCCAAGGAGTATAATAGCTAAAGTATAATGGAAACAAAGTGGCAGGTTAACATCTGTGGGGGTGGATTCAACTGCGTGGAAAAATGTGAAAAAAATTAAAGGAAAGGAGAATTTAGGTTATTAAACTCTCCAGCACACAAAATAGGACAGGGTGTTTGGAAAGGGTTAGGAATCAAACTTCAAGCACACGGGATAAACGAATGACAATGAGAAGAGAGACTATCATGACAGGACTGAGGGTGTTGTATCTGAATACACGCAGTATACGAAATAAAGTAAATGAGCTTGTGGTGCAGATCGAAATTGGCAGGTATAACGTGGTGGGCATCATGGAGACGTGGCTGCAAGGGGATCAGGATTGGGAGCTAAATATCCAAGGATTAATATCGCATTAAAAAGAAGGCAGGTGGACAGAGGGAATCGGTTGCCTTATTAGTAAGAAATGGAATTCAATCAATAGCAAGAAAAGGAGTAGGGTCAGATGATGTAGAATCTGTGTGGGTAGAGTTAAGAAACCGCAAAGATGAAAAACCACAATGGAAGTTACGTACAGGCTACCAAACAGTGGTCAGGATTTGAGGCACAAGATACACCAGGAGATAGAAAAGGTTTGTAAGAAAGGCAAGGTTACAGTGAACATGGAGGATTTCTATATGCAGGTGGACTGGGAAATCGCAAGGAAAGGAATTTGTGCAATGTCTACAAGTTGGCTTTTTGGAGCAACTTGTGGTGGAGCCCACCAGGGAACAGGCAATTCTGGATTTAGTGAATTGCAATGAGGCAGACTTGATAAGGGAGCTTAAGGTGAAGGAACCCTCTGGAGGCAGTGACCATAATACAATAGAATTTACTCTGCAATTTAAGAGGGAGAAGGTTGAATCAGATGTAACAGTATTACAGTTGAATAAAAGCAACTACAGAAGTGTGATGGAGGAGCTGATCAGAATTGACTAGGAGAGGAGCCTAGCAGGAAAGATAGTGGAACTGCAAAGGCAGGAGTTTCCGGGAGTAATTTGGGAGACACGGCAAAACTTCATCCCTAGGAAAAAGAAGCATACTAAAGGGAGGATGAGGCAACCACAGCTGACAAGAGAAATCAGGGATAGCATAAAAGCAAAAGAGAAAGCTTACAATGTGGCAAAAGGCAGTGGGAAGTCAGAGGATTCGGAAGCCTACAAAGACCAACAGAGGGCAACAAAAAAAGAAATAAGGAGTGAGAAGATTAAATAATAATATAAAAGAAATAGTAATATAAAAGAAGATTGCAAGAGATATATAAAGGGCAAAAGAGAGACAAAAGTGGACATTGGACCGCTGGAAAATGACATCAGAGAAGTAGTAATGGGGAACAAAGAAATGGCTGAGGAACTGAATAAGTACTTTGCATCAATCTTCATGGTGGAAGACATGAGTAATATCCCAAAAATTTACGAGAGTCGGGAAAAAGAGGTGAGTATGGTGACCATCACCAAGGAGAAGGTGCTAGAAAAACTGAAAGGCCTGAAGGTCGATAAATCACCTGGACCAGATAGACTACACCCCAGAATTCTAAAGGAGATAGCTGAAGAGATAGTGGAAACATTAGTGGTGATCTTTCAGGAATCACCGGAGTCAGGGAGGGTCTCAAAGGACCGGACAATCGCTAATGTAATCCCCCTGTTTAAGAAGGGAGGAAGGCAAAAGACGGGAAATTACAAGCTGATCAGCCTGACCTTGATTGTTGGTAAGATTTTGGAGTCCATTCTAAAGGATGGGATTTCTGAATTCTTGGAAGTGAATGGTAAAATAGGGCAAAATCAGCATGGTTTCATCAAGGGAGGTCATGCCTGACAAACCTGTTAGAATTTTTTGAGAAGGTAACAAGCAGGTTAGACCAAGGAGAGCCAATGGATATTATCTATGTGGACTTCCATTGGGCCTTCAACAAGGTGCCACACAGGATGCTGCTGAGTAAGATAAGGGCCCATGGTGTTAGAGACAAGGTACTAGCATGGATAGAAGATTGGCTCTCTGGCAGAAAGCAGAGAGTGGGGATAAAAGCGTCCTTCTCAGATGGCAGCTGGTTGCTAGTGGTGTTCCACAAGGATCAGTGTTGGAACCACAACTTTTCGCGTTATACATTAATGATCTAGATGAAGGAACTGAGGACATTCTGGCCAAGTTTGCAGATGATACAAAGATTGGTAGAAGAACAGGTAGTATTGAGGAGCCAGGGAGGCTGCAGAAGGATTTGGACAGGTTAGGAGAGTGGGCAAAGAAGTGGCAGATGGAATACAATGTGGGTAAGTGTGAGGTCATGCACTTTGATAGGAAGAATACAGGCATGGTCTATATTCTAAATGGGGAGAGAATTCAGCAATCTGAAGTGCAAAGGGACTTGGGAGTTCTAGACCAGGATTCTCTTAAGGTAAACTTGCAGGTTGAGTTGGTAATTAGGAAGGCAACTACAATGCTGGCATTTATTTCGAGAGGATGAGAACATAAAGGCAAAGAGGTACTTCTGAGGCTTTATAAAGCTCTGGTCAGACCACATTTAGAGTATTGTGAGCACTTTTAGGCCCTATTCCTCAGGAAGAATGTACTGGCCCTGGAGCAGGTCCAGAGGAGTTTCATGAGAATGATCCCAGGAATGAAAGGCTTAATATATAAGGAACGTTTGAGGACTTTGGTTCTATACTCGATGGAGTTTAGAAGGACGAGGAGGGATCAAATTGAAACTTACAGAATACTGAATGGCTTGGACAGAGTGGATGTTGGAAAGATGTTCCAGTTGGTAGGAGTGACTCGGACCTGAGGGCACAGCCTTAGAGTAAAGGGAAGATCCTTTAGAACAGAGATAAGGAGAAACTTCTTTCAGCCAGAGAGTGGTGAATCTATGGAATTCATTGCCACAGAAGGCTGTGGAGGTCAGGTCATTGAGAATATTTAAGACAGAGATAGGTTCTTGATTGTCAAGGGGATCAAGGGTTATGAGAAGAAAGCAGGAGAAAGGGGTTGAGAAACTTAACGGCCATGATTGAATGGAAGAGCAGACTTAATGGGCCGAATGGCCTATTTTCTACTCCTGTGTCTTATGATCTTCAGTTCTCTCCTATAGAAGGTTATGAAGGCCAAGTCAGAAATACACTGAAAAGTGTAGAAAAGCAAAATCCTGTAGATGCTGGAAATCTGAAAAAAAATCTACAAAATGGCTAGACAATCTCAACAATTCAGACAACGTGTATGGAGAACAACAGAGTTAACATTTCAGGTTAGTGATGTTTCAAAAGAACCAACCAACCCTCGAGGGAGCCTCACAATACTAATTTCTTCCAATCTGATAAACAACCCATCACTCTAACTCTCTGTTTCCTGTTACAAGATCAAAGTTGGTAGCTGCAACTTTGCTGCCAGCTCCATTATATGGCCTTTTGTGAAAAGATCTTTGAGGTCCATATACTGTACAATTAATGAAATGCTTGGCACAGGAGCCAAGTTGTTCATAGCAGGGTCCAACAAACAGCAAAATCATTATGCTCATGTAAGTTGTTTTAAGGGTGGGGGTTGACAGATTAAAGTTTACCAGGACACGAAGTAGAATGCTCCTGATCATTAAACAGTATCATGCGATCTTTTACTTATACCTGAAAGGGTTGGCACCATTTACATTCTCATTCAAAGGTTGCCACGTCTAATAGTGCAGCACTGCACTGAAGGGTCTGAGGTGGGACTTGAACAAAAAGCCTTCCAAAAAGGCAAGGCAAACAGTATTGAAACTAAAAGCAACATTTTACTGATGTTGAACATCTTAAATTAAGACTGAAAGTGCTGTTAATACTTTACAAGTCAGGTTTCAGCATCATTATGAGGTATAAAATAATAATCACCTTGGCTCCCCATATGGAAGCAACTTTCCTGAGCAAGATCCATCAACTGACATCCTTTGGATCAAGGAATGCGAAACACAAGAAGTGAACACTTCAGTTTACTTGTGGCAAACCCCATTTGTCAAATGGCTGGCTTTAAAATTGCAGCAAAGTGATCTTTGCTCAGCAGGTTCAGGATAAGCCAGCTCCCCTAGGCAACAAATCTCCACTGCTGAAGCCTCAGTGCAAACTCCTTATGAATTTAAGAAGAGAAACAAGATGCAAGTTTTGTGTTAAGACACTGGCAATCTTAGAGGAAATTTGACTCAGTGGTCTTGTAGAAGAGAGGGAACCAGTAGAAGCAGCTAATCAGTTGGTCTTGATCTTAGTAACAAAGTAGTCCAAGAGGTTGTTGCACTAATAACTAAGGATGACAGAAGTTTGACCTATCTTAGCTAATTCCTCCTCTCTGTTCCCATTATAGCACCCAACTGCATTATGAACACCCC